AAAAACAAAGACGGCAAAAAAGCAGATAGGAATGTGAAGGGAAAGAGAAGGGAAGAAGAGGAAAAACAGGGGAGACGAAGAGGGGAAGGAGAAGGGGAAGAGAGGAGGAATGGAAGGGGCAAAGAGAGAGGGGACAAAGATACCAACAAGCAATGCAAAAAAGGAACGAGATACGACATAGCAAGGAACGAGAAGGGAAACAAGGGCGAAGGAGAGGGCGAAGCAAAAGCAAAGACGGCAACAAGCAGATAGGAATGCAAAGGGAAAGAGAAGGGAAGAAGAGGAAAAACATGGGACACGAAGAAGGAAAGGAGAGGGGGAAGAGAGGAGGAATGGAAGGGGCAAGAAGAGGGGACAAAGATCGCAACAAACGTGCAAAAAGAGGAGCAGAGATGCGACATGAGGCAAGAAGGGCGAAGGAGAGAGCGAAGCAAAAGCAAAGACGGCAAAAAGCAGATAGGAATGTGAAGAGAAAGAGAAGGGAAGAAGAGGAAAAACAGGGGAGACGAAGAGGGAAAGGAGAGGGGGAAGAGAGGAGGAATGGCAGGGGCAAAGAGAGGGGGGACAAAGAAACCAACAAGCAATGCAAAAAAGGAACGAGATACGACATAGCAAGGAACGAGAAGGGAAAGAAGGGCGAAGGAGAGGGCGAAGCAAAAGCAAAGACGGCAAAACGCAGATAGAAATGCGAAGAGAAAGAGAAGGGAAGAAGAGGAAAAACAGGGGAGACGAAGAGGGAAAGGAGAGGGGGAAGAGAGGAGGAATGGAAGGGGCAAAGAAAGAGGGGACAAAGATACCAACAAGCAATGCAAAAAAGAGGAACGAGATACGACATAGCAAGGAACGAGAAGGGAAAGAAGGGCGAAGGAGAGAGCGAAGCAAAAGCAAAGACGGCAAAAAGCAGATAGGAATGTGAAGAGAAAGAGAAGGGAAGAAGAGGAAAAACAGGGGAGACGAAGAGGGAAAGGAGAGGGGGAAGAGAGGAGGAATGGCAGGGGCAAAGAGAGGGGGGACAAAGAAACCAACAAGCAATGCAAAAAAGGAACGAGATACGACATAGCAAGGAACGAGAAGGGAAAGAAGGGCGAAGGAGAGGGCGAAGCAAAAGCAAAGACGGCAAAACGCAGATAGAAATGCGAAGAGAAAGAGAAGGGAAGAAGAGGAAAAACAGGGGAGACGAAGAGGGAAAGGAGAGGGGGAAGAGAGGAGGAATGGAAGGGGCAAAGAAAGAGGGGACAAAGATACCAACAAGCAATGAAAAAAAGGATGCAAAAAAAGGAACGAGATACGGCATAGCAAGGAACGAGAAGGGAAAGAAGGGCGAAGGAAAGGGCGAAGCAAAAGCAAAGACGGCAAAAAACAGATAGAAATGTGAAGAGACAGAGAAGGGAAGAAGAGGAAAAACAGGGGAGACGAAGAGGGGAAGGAGAGGGGGGAGAGAGGAGGAATGGAAGGGGCAAAGAGAGGGGACAAAGATACCAACAAGCAATGCTAAAGAAGGAACAAGATACAACGTAGCAAGGAACGAAAAGGGAAACAAGGGCGAAGGAGACGGCGAAGCAAAGCAAAGACGGCAAAAAGAAAATAGAAATGTGAAGAGAAAGAGAAGGGAAGAAGAGGACAAACAGGGGAGACGAAGAGGGGAAGGAGAAGGGAAAGAGAGGAGGAATGGAAGAGGGAAAGAGAGGGGACAAAGATACCAACAAGCAATGCAAAAAAAAGGAACGAGATACGACATAGCAAGGAACGAGAAGGGAAAGAAGGGCAAAGGAGAGGGCGAAGCAAAAGCAAAGACGGCAAAAAACAGATAGAAATGTGAAGAGAAAGAGAAGGGAAGAAGAGGACAAACAGGGGAGACCAAGAGGGAAAGGAGAGAGGGAAGAGAGGAGGAATGGAAGGAGGAAAGAGAGGGGACAAAGATACCAACAAGCAATGCAAAAAAAAGGAACCAGATACAACATAGCAAGGAACAAGAATGGAAAGAAGGGCGAAGGAGAGGGCGAAGCAAAAGCAAAGACGGCAAAGAGCAGCTAGAAGTGTGAAGGGAAAGAGAAGGGAAGAAGAGGAAAAACAGGGGAGACGAAGAGGGAAAGCAGAGGGAGGAAGAGGAGGAACGGAAGGGGGAAAGAGAGGGGACAGAGATACCAACAAGCAATGCAAAAAAGGAACGAGATACGACATAGCAAGGAACGAGAAGGGCAAGAAGGGCGAAGGAGAGGGCGAAGCAAAAGCAAAGACGGCAAAAAGCAGATAGGAATGCGAAGAGAAACAGAAGGGAAGAAGAGGAAAAACAGGGGAGACGAAGAGGGGAAGGAGAGGGGGAAGAGAGGAGGAATGGAAGGGGGAAAGAGAGAGGGGACAAAGATACCAACAAGCAGTTCAAAAACAGGAACGAGATACGACATAGCAAGGAACGCGAAGGGAAAGAAGGGCGAAGGAGAGGGCGAAGCAAAAGCAAAGACGGCAAAGAGCAGATAGGAATGCAAAGGGAAAGAGAAGGGAAGAAGAGGAAAAACATGGGAGACGAAGAGGGGAAGGACAGGGGGAAGAGAGGATCCATGGAAGGGGGAAAGAGAGGGGACAAAGAGACCAACAAGCAATGCAAAAAAGGAACGAGATACGACATAGCAAGGAACGAGAAGGGAAAGAAGGCCGAAGAAGAGGGCGAAGCAAAAGCAAAGACGGCAAAAAGCAGACAGAACTGTGAAGAGAAAGAGAAGGGAAGAAGAGGAAAAACAGGGGAGACGAAGAGGGAAAAGGAGAGGGGGAAGAGAGGAGGAATGGAAGGGGGAAAGAGAGGGAACAAAGATACCAAGAAGCAATGCAAAAAGAGGAACGAGATACGACATAGCACGGAACGAGAAGGGAAACAAGGGCGAAGGAGAGGGCGAAGCAAAAGCAAAGACGGAAAAGAGCAGATAGAAATGTGAAGAGAAAGAGAAGGGACGAAGAGGAAAAACAGGGGAGACGAAGAGGGGAACGAGAGGGGGAGAGAGGAGGAATGGAAGGGGGAAAGAGAGGGGACAAAGATACCAACAAGCAGTTCAAAAAAAAGGAACGAGATACGACATAGCAAGGAACGAGAAGGGAAACAAGGGCGAAGGAGAGGGCGAAGCAAAAGCAAAGACGGCAAAAAACAGATAGAAATGTGAAGAGACAGAGAAGGGAAGAAGAGGAAAAACAGGGGAGACGAAGAGGGGAAGGGGAGGGGGAAGAGAGGAGGAATGGAAGGGGCAAAGAGAGGGGACAAAGATACCAACAAGCAATGCTAAAGAAGGAACAAGATACAACGTAGCAAGGAACGAAAAGGGAAACAAGGGCGAAGGAGACGGCGAAGCAAAAGCAAAGACGGCAAAAAGCAGACAGAACTGTGAAGAGAAAGAGAAGGGAAGAAGACGAAAAAGGGGAGACGAAGAGGGGAAGGAGAGCGGGAAGAGAGGAGGAAAAGAAGGGGGAAAGAGAGGGGACAAAGATACCAACAAGCAATGCTAAAAAAGGAACGAGATACAACATAGCAAGGAACGAAAAGGGAAAGAAGGGCGAAGGAGAGGGCGAAGCAAAAGCAAAGTTGGCAAAAAGCAGATAGGAATGCGAAGGGAAAGAGAAGGGAAGAAGAGGAAAAACAGGGGAGAGGAAGAGAAGGGAGGAGAGGGGGAAGAGAGGAGGAATGGAAGGGGGAAAGAGAGGGGACAAAGATACCAACAAGCAGTTCAAAAAAAGGAACGAGATACGACATAGCAAGGAACGAAAAGGGAAAGAAGGGCGAAGGAGAAGGCGAAGCAAAAGCAAAGACGGCAAAAAGCAGATAGGATGCGAAGGGAAAGAGAAGGGAAGAGAGAAAAACAGGGAGAGGAGAGAGGGAGGAGAGGGGGAAGAGAGGAGGAATGGAAGGGGGAAAAGAGGGGGACAAAGATACCAACAAGCAGTTCAAAAAAAAGGAACGAGATACGACATAGCAAGGAACGAGAAGGGAAAGAAGGCGAAGAGAGGGCGAAGCAAAAGCAAAGACGGCAAAAAGCAGATAGGAATGTGAAGGGAAAGAGAAGGGAAGAAGAGGAAAAACAGGGGAGACGAAGAGGGAGGAGAGGGGGAAGAGAGGAGGAATGGAAGGGGGAAAGAGAGGGGACAAAGATACCAACAAGCAATGCAAAAAAAGGAACGAGATACGACATAGCAAGGAACGAGAAGGGAAAGAAGGGCGAAGGAGAGGGCGAAGCAAAAGCAAAGACGGCAAAAAGCAGATAGGAATGCGAAGGGAAAGAGAAGGGAAGAAGAGGAAAAACAGGGGAGAGGAAGAGAAGGGAGGAGAGGGGGAAGAGAGGAGGAATGGAAGGGGGAAAGAGAGGGAACAAAGATACCAACAAGCAATGCAAAAAAGAGGAACGAGATACGACATAGCACGGAACGAGAAGGGAAACAAGGGCGAAGGAGAGGGCGAAGCAAAAGCAAAGACGGCAAAAAGCAGATAGGAATGCGAAGGGAAAGAGAAGGGAAGAAGAGGAAAAACAGGGAGAGGAAGAGAAGGGAGGAGAGGGGGAAGAGAGGAGGAATGGAAGGGGGAAAGAGAGGGGACAAAGATACCAACAAGCAGTTTAAAAAAAGGAACGAGATACGACATAGCAAGAACGAAAAGGGAAAGAAGGCGAAGGAGAGGGCGAAGCAAAAGCAAAGACGGCAAAAAGCAGATAGGAATGCGAAGGGAAAGAGAAGGGAAGAAGAGGAAAAACAGGGGAGAGGAAGAGAAGGGAGGAGAGGGGGAAGAGAGGAGGAATGGAAGGGGGAAAGAGAGGGGACAAAGATACCAACAAGCAGTTCAAAAAAAAGGAACGAGATACGACATAGCAAGGAACGAAAAGGGAAAGAAGGGCGAAGGAGAGGGCGAAGCAAAAGCAAAGACGGCAAAAAGCAGATAGGAATGCGAAGGGAAAGAGAAGGGAAGAAGAGGAAAAACAGGGGAGAGGAAGAGAAGGGAAAGGAGAGGGAAAGGCGGGAGTCCAGGCCTGCTTCCCCAGGATCTCGATCTCCTTCTTGTTTTGTTTGTTGCCGGTTTGGATGGTCAGCACTTGCTCGGACACCGCCGACAGGATGCGCTCCTCCAAGCGGTTGAACTCGTCAAAGCAGCCCCAGGCGCCCACTTGGCAGAGGCCCACGAAGATCCGGCCCATGGCCTCAATTTAGATACCGGAAGTCAAAATAGAATTTCAGATTTCTAATTTCAACTTTGGAATTCAACTGTTCAATTTTCAAGTAGACCGAAGGGTAAGCAAAGAGAAAGAGATCGGGGCTATTGTAAGCCTTCGGGCTTGGCAAGTTGGTCCCAACGGCCCGCCTGAAAGTCAAAGCCCTCGTCGCAGCAGAAGACAAGCACAAATCGACCCATTGTGTTGCCCAAAGCCTTCACCGATTCAGTCTTGCCTGTCCCCGCAGGCCCGAAGGGATTGGCCCCCAGCCGCATATGAAGGGCTTGCGTCAAGGTCAAAAAGCACCGATCTGTGAGAGGTGTTTGCACCAGCTTGTCTGCAATGCCCAAGTACTCAAAGCCGTAGAAGAAGGTAGCATCAGCCATACAAATGGACAAACGCTGAAGGATTTGGGGCTCGCTCGGATTCCAGTACATCCGCATGAGCTGAAGCCACTGGAAGTCTTTGGGGGAGCACACTTTGTCCTGGATCAGTTGCCTTGACACATCTCTTTGGTGTACGACTTCAGTGATTAGCTGTGCAAGTTTCTGACGCACGTCGTTACTCACATTCGTGATCACCTTGCCCGCCATGAACGACAGCTGCTCGACGGTACGAGGCAAGACTTTCTCCATGTCTGCCGCACCACCGGAGCTCAGTGCGGCCTCAACCTTCGCACACCAGTCTGCCAATATTGCCATCAGCAGCACCTGACAAAGCCGGCAAAGGATTGCCAACCACATGGCCCATGGCCTCACCTGACGTGCCCAAACTCTACTCCTTTGTCATCCGGTTGGAAATGCAACATTCATGAGGCACGTACGACTGATCCGGCCTGGCACGGATACTTGGAAACCCAGACCTGCGAGCTGCAAAAAGGTGAGAACAGCAAAGCACAAAGCTGAGAGGTCGACAGGAAGTTAGGCCGGACAGAGCCGCTTTGCGCGATATTGCTCCAAGTGGCCATTGTCTCCTCCTCGCTGATTGTCCCATCAGCTGCAAAGAGCGTCCCCAACCTATCAGATAAAAACCGTCCAATTGACTTCCAGCGTCATCGCAGCATCGCAATGCGCTCAGGCTGTGGCTCATTCATGGAGGAATTCAGATGCTCACCCAGCGACGCTTGCATGCTAGCCTGGGAATGAACAAGCAAAAAAAGTATGTTGATCCCTCAATGCCTCATTACACAGTCTCATCTGGCCTCCGTCTTGGACAGCCAGCCATTGATTGACGGGTCCTCGTTGATGTTGACCTCGAGAGGAGTCGGGGAGGAAGGGTAAGAACGGGACGAGGACGGGACAAGAACGATAAAAGGAAAAGAAAGGACAAGAAAGGACAAGAAAGGACAAGAAAGGAAAAGAAAGGAAAAGAAAGGAAAAGAAAGGAAAAGAAAGGAAAAGAAAGGAAAAGAAAGGAAGAATCAAGAAAGAAAGAAAGGAAGAAAGAAAGAAAGACAAAGAAAGAAAAGAAGCCAAAGTCGACTTGCCGGCGCACAGGCTTGATGAAGTCCACCGACTCTCCCTCACGCGACTGCATGGCCTGGCAAGAACATTCAGGATTCCTTCCAAGGATCCAGAAAGAATCAGAAAGCGCGCCGGCTTATTTTGCATCAAAGGCCGTCTCACGGTGATCTCCAAGCCGCAAGCTTGGCAAACTCCTGACCGAGCGGGAGATTGGAGAGTTGGGGCCCCAAAGTCAGCGCCTTCGTTCCAAAGGTAGACGTGAAGTCGTCGCTGAGCATCTGCTCGCGGCTGCAACACCTCGCCAAGTCGGCCTTGCATCCTTGCCTTTGAATGTTGCCTTTGCATATCCTTCCTATTGACCAACTTTGAGGTTCTGTGAGGCTGGCACGCTTTCCAGGCTCGCGCAGCTCCTGAAGGCTTCGGCAAACGATAGACCTCAAATTGGACTCAGCGCCTGCAGAGACATAGTGAGCGTTGAGCGCGGTGAGCGCGGTGAGCGCGGTGAGCGCGGTGAGCGCGGTGAGCGCGTGGAGCTGGCAAGTTCGAATGCCTGGACCGAGGCTCTCAAAGCTCTGGCCAGGGAATCAACGCTGGCAGTTTCAACTGCGTTGGCCTTTGGAGTGTGTCAACAACAAGTGCCTCTGCCGCTTTCACGGCCCAAGCCGTTTCGCCGTTTCGCACATTGCCTGAACTGATCTCACTATCTCAGGTTCAGCCGATTCTCGGGAAATCCGAAGGCTCCACGTGCCTTCTTTCCGGCTCAGGCAGCTTCAGTCAGACTGAATCCAGCTGAAGCATCCGCTTCGGCCTCTGTGTTGCGTGCATTGCAACTGAACTCCGACAGCTTCGGATTTGGATTTGGATCGTGTTTCAGTGTGGAAGCTGAGCCTTTCGAGCGGCTCGCTTCGCGCCCGGTTCTTTCCTTCTCTCTCCCTTTCTCTCCCTCTTTCGCTGCTTGCTTCTTTTTCTCTTCTTTCGAGTTGCTCTTGCTCGCTTTCGCTCTCTTCGTTCTTCTGCTCGCCGGAGCACTGTTCTTTCTCTTTTCTGACCTCTGCGAATAACTGAAAGCCTCTACCTGAATGTCCCAAACGCATCTTTCAAGACCTAGATTGACATGCAATTGGTCAACGCGCACTCCCACGCCCCACCTTGCCACCTTGCAAGCTTTCCACCGGCCTGCCAAGTTGCGTGCGCATTCAGCAGCTGTCATTTGACCCACCTCACAGCAGGTGGAGCAGCCATCCCACAGGCGCTGCCCATCGCATTTGTGAAACTTGCCGGACAGGGGATTTATGCACCCGGACAGGCTGCACCCAAGAAAAATGGCGCCGGCACTCTGGCTGTAACTTTGCAAAAGTCCAGCCTGTCGCAGCACAAGCAGTCTGGATGGTAGTGAGCGCCCTCAACGTTTGTGACCCTCGCTGAAAATGATAAAGCAAATGCTCGTGCAGGGTAGTTAGGTAGAGTAGTAAGCTTTTTGGAGCAGGTGGCGCATCGCTTGCGCTCACCGTTCATAGAATTGCCAAGTTCTATCTGAACTGCATCTTGCCACCTTCTCGTTAGCCCGGATTTTCTCCAATTGGTCTGCCTCTGGCCCTATGCTGCTTTTGCTTCGCTTGAGTCACGAGGCGGAACGGCGGAACGGCGGAACGGCGGAACGGCGGAGCCCGAAGTGGATCGAAGCGGATCGAAGCACTCGAAGCACTCGAAGTCGAGTAGCACTCGAAGTCGAGCGCCTTCACGAGCTCCGGGCTGCCAGGCTCAGTGCTGAGCTGAGAGAGGCCAGCGAACATCTTGGCCTAGATCCGGAGACGCAAGCCGTCGAATCTGCTCCCTTCTCAATGCTTATTGCTTGTTTCGCTTGTTTCGGGTTTAGTTTGTGCTTGTTTCTCCTTAAAGCTTCTTTGTGCCTATCGATGTGTCTTCAATCTTCTTACTGCTTCTTAATGTGTCTTGACGCTACTTATGTGTTTCGTGTTTATTGCGACTTCTCAATGCTTCTTGATAAGTTTGCGGGTCTCTTATTGCTTCTTACTACGTCTTTAGGTGTCCTGAAGGGTTCGTAATGCTGCTTGCTTCTCAATGCTTGTTAATTCGTCTTAAGTAACATTGAGGAGCATTCAGCATGAAGCAGCTTGGAAAGAAATGCGTTAAGAACAACTACGAAGTCTCAATGCTTCTTACTAGTTTGTAGAAGTCTGATTCTCTTGAATATGCTGGTCAATGTGTCTTGAAGCTCAATGCTTCTGAACGCGTCTTCGTGCTTCTCAACGTGTCTTAATGTGTGAATGCGCGTGCTTCTGAATGCGTCTTAATGCTTCTCAGTGCTTCTTAGTGCCTTTTGAATGCGCAACGAATGCTTCTTAAGACTTCTTAATGCTTCTCAATGCATCTTAATGTTTCGGAATGCTGGGTAATGCGGTCTATTGCTTTGAACTGCTGCGCAGTGCTTCTCACTGTTGTGTACAAAGCGTTCAGAGACTTAGAGGCACTAGGCAGCACTAAGAAACACTAAAAAGCATTACAGGGCGTTAAGAAGCAGTAGAAAGCATTTAGAAACATAAAGCAACACTAAGGAGCCCTAAGACGCATCAAGAAGCAATAGGAAGTAAGCATTCAGAAACGTAAAGACGCATTGAGAAGAACAGGAGCAATAAGCAAAGACTCAGAAGCATTATGAGATGTTGAGAAGCATGAAGAAGCAGCAAGAAGCACGAAGCACGAAAAAGCATTAAGAAACCTGAAGAAGCATGAAAACGCAACAAAACTCCACAAGAAGCAGACATGCATTAGAAGCAATAAGAAGCATTAAGGAACAAGAAGGAGCATTCCAGCAGTCAAAACATTCGAAAGCTTTAAGATTTCAGAAACGCTAAGAAGCTAAGAAGCGTAAAGAAGCACCAAAACTCAATCAAACAAAATGGGCAGCATTGAAGCAATAGAAGCATTGCAGTTATGCAGCAACATTACGAAACATCAAGAAGCAGAGAAAAGAATAAGGACGCATCGAGAGGCATTCAGGCGAATTCAACAAACACTTTAAAAGCATTAAGAAGCATCCAGAAGTAGGCTACACAGTAAGTAGCATCAAGGTACATTCAGAAGCATGAAGAAGCACTGTTATGAGGCATTAAGAGATAGTAAGAAACATAAAGAACCATGAAGCATCAAAAAAAATGAGAAAGCAGTAAGAAACTCACAATCATTCGGAAGCAACAAGAAGCTGTAAGAAGCATCAAGAAGCATCAAGAAGCATCAAGAAGCATTAAGAAGCATTAAGAAGCATTAAGAAGCATGAAGAAGCATGAAGAAGCATGAAGAAGCACTAAGGGCATGCAAAAGCATCAAGAAGCATGAAGACGCACTGGGAGGCATTCGGAAGCATTTGGAACTAATCGGACCCAGTCGGAAGCATGTAGAGCCTTCAGAAGAAACAAGAAGCATTCAGAAGCATTGACAAACAGTAGCAAGAATTACAGATTCATGAAGACGCCTTTAAAAACCAAAAAGCAAAAAGAAGCTTCCAAGTACTTCTCAACGCCCCTCAGGCTTCTTAATGCTTCCGAGTGCTTCTGCATGCGTCTTAAGGTTTGCAAAGCTTTTTCATTGGTCTTACCGCGTCTTGATGGTTCTGATGGCTTTTGAATGCCCTATACGCCTGTTTGTTCATGATCGTTGCCGCTTCGGGATGATTCTTAATGCTTCTTGATGCTTCTGATTGCTCCGAATGCTTCTTAACGCTTCTTACTGTTCTTCATGCTTCTTGATGCTTCTCAATGCTTCTGAATGCTGCTTAGTGCTCCTGAATGCTTTGCAAGCTTTCTGCTGCTTCTGAATGCTTTGAGATGCCCTAACTGCGTCTTAATGTTCCGGAGTGCGTCTTACCTCTTGCTAGGAGTCTTTGCGCATTGATGCTCTTACTGATAAGAAGCAGTTGCGCCATGTAGTCGCATGTAAACGCAATCAAGAAATCAAAAAGCGTTGAGAAGAAGTAAGGAGCAATAAGAAGCTTCAGAAATCTTCAATGGCATGGCATTCAGATGCATCAAGAAGCATGCAGACGCATTAAAGAATCATATTCAAGCATTGAATAGCATTCAGAAGCGGCAAGAGGCATCAGGACACATTGGAAGCATTCAGGGCATTCAGAAAGCTTCCTTAAGAGGCATTCAAAAGCATGCGGAAACCAAAAGAAGCATTAAGCGGCATTGAGAAGCATTAAGAAGCATGTAGAAGCATTTAGAAGCATTTAGAAGCATTGAGAAGCATTGAGAAGCATTGAGAAGC